CCAGCGTGGCCTGCATGGAGTCCATGGCGCGCTGGTGGTTGCGCCTGCAGGAGATGATGCATCAGCCATGTCCACCCAGGGACACCGAGCCTGGGGCAGCACTGTCAGGGTCACAGCACCAGCTCTGTCCCCACAGAGATGTCTCAGCCTGTCCCCTCTCACCACATACCTCAGGTTCTCAAACTCCTCGTCCTTCTCCGCCAGCTTCCTGTCCATCTCAGCCTTGATCTGGTTCAGCTCCAGCTGGATGCGCAGAGTCTTGCTCTCCTCGTGCTCCAGGGCTCCCTAGAGACAGACCGGCCACAGAAGGTGGTCCCTTGGGGGTCTCTCCTGCCACCCACCCCAGCCTGGCCTTGCCCCCCAGCCCAGCAGTATGGGGAACAGGGCAGGTTGAGCCAACCCAGTGCCTGCAGTGGTTGCAGGACCCCCATGAGCAGAGTATCCAGGGGTTACAGCCTGGCTCAGGACAGTCACTCTCCAGCAGCACCTGACCAGAGCTGCAGAGTGGGCCAGTGGCTCCTGGAGACAGTGGGCACATGTGGGAAACAAGGACGCACCTCAGCCTCTTCCAGAGCTGCCTGGATATCATTCTTCTCACTCTCCAGGACTTTCTTCACCTTCTCCAGCTCATGGATGGTTTTGCCACCCAGACCAATCTGGTCAGTCAGATCAGCAATTTCCTCTGGCAGGGATAGAAGGCATTTGGTCAGGAAGGACAGGTGACACAGGTGACATCCCCATCACTCTGCCCAGGCTCAGATGGTGTCCCCCTGCCCCTTGGAGAGCAGCTGAGGCTGTGCTTGGGGACATTTCTGCAGTCTGGATGAAGGAGAGGGCATGGCATAGACATTAAGGCCCCAGGGAGACCTGTTTGTCCAAGAGCAACACACCCAAGGCAGTGTCGTGCCACAGCCATGGCACTTGTCAGCAAATCACACACCATGTGGGATCAGGGGCCAAATGGCTCTGCCTGTTCTCCCAGAGTGTCCCCAGCAAGAGGGCAGGACACTCACTGGCATCCTGGCTGGGCTGCTGCATCCCTCCAAGGGATGTGCTAGGCCAGGCCGAGCAGCAAGGTCTGCTCCTTGCCTAAAAGGGACTCAATCCCTCCACATGGCCGAGGACAGGGAGCAGGAGTCTGGGCAGAGTCCAAAGGGAGAGGCTGAGCCCAGTCCTACCCTGCAGGTTCTTGTTCTCCCTCTTGAGGGTCTCCAAGTTGTCCAGAGACTCCTCATAGGCATTCTTGAGCTTGAAGAGCTCCGTGCTCAGGCTGCGTGACTCCTTCTGAGATGCCTCCAGCTCCACCTGGGTCTCCTCATACTTCTGCTTCCACTCAGCCAGGATCCTGTCGAAGTTGCGCTGCTTCTTGTCCAGGGCAGCACAGGCTGAGTTGGCACGTTCCAGGTCCACCGAGAGGTCCTCGATCTCGGTCTGCAGCCGATGTTTGGTCTTCTCCAGCGACGAGCACTTGGCGTGGGCAGCCTCTACAGCCTCCTCTGCCTCCTGCAGCCGGGTGGCCAACTTCTTCCTGCCCATGGCAGCAGGGCTGAGTGCTCCTTGCCCAGCTGTCATCCCACCCTGCTGCTCTGAGCAGGTGAGGGCACCTGCCTCAAATCCAGGCAGGAGAGTGCCATGTCACCCCAGGGTCTGGGCAAGCCCCGTGGTTGAACAAAAACTTGCCACCTGCAAAGGACTTGTGTCATGGGACTTACTTGGCTTCCTCCAGCTCCTCAGTCCTCTGGATGGCATCAGTCTCATACTTGGTTCTCCACTGGGCCACTTCAGCATTGGCCTTGGACAAGTTCCTCTGGAGCTCACTCTTGGCCTCCACCTCCTCCTCGTACTGCTCCCGCAGCAGGTCACAGTCGTGCCGGGAGGCTTGCAGGGCATGGGCCAGGGCATTCTTGCTCTGAGGAAGGGAGAGCTCATGAGAGCAGCTGCTGACCTCAGGACACTGGTCCTGGCACTGGGATTTGGAGCAGCAGGAGGGAACTTCTGTTTTTTCCAGGTTAAGAGCTACCCTGGGTGCAGGGCATGTCCCACCTCCCCAGTCCAAGAACATGGGCCACTGCCACTGAGACACAGGTCCCATTCCCCGAGGTCTGTGTCACTCAGAGATCAGCCATGCCCTAGAAGTCTCACCTTGGTCTCTTCCTCCAGCTGCCTTTTGAGTTCCTCAATGCTCTGAGTGAATGAGATCTTGCCACGGCTCAGCTGATTGATGAAGGACTCCTTCTCCTCCAGCAGCCGAGTAAGCTCCCCTGGGTTCAAACACAGCCAAAACAGCTACCTTGGGGCTGAAGGGCTGCAATCTGCACTAGATGACACTCCCCCAGAGCCTGTGCCTTCAGAGCTCATGGAGACCTCCAGCAGGCCCAGGTGGGGCCATGAGCAGAGGTGCAAGCAGCTAAAGACAATGGATGCCAGCAAGGAACTCTTCCTTCTGATGCACAGCTAGGTTTTATCATCCATGGGAGAAGGAGGACAGTCTGCCCAGCTGTACCACCACTCCCCCACCCAGATGCCCCAGTCCAAGAGCAGCCCCAAGGCAGCTGTGTGTCCCCTGGCTCCTGCCCCACGTACCATTCTCAGTCTGCAGCCTGCCCCGCTGTGTGCTCACGTCGCTCAGCTGTCGCTGCAGCTCGTCCACTTTGCACTTGGCCTCGTTCAGCTGGTCCTCATAGGTGCGGCACAGCTTCTCAGCATTGGCCTGCAGGCACCAAGCACAGCCTGGTGAGCCTGGCAGCACTGTTCTCCCACCCTGGGACTCACTGCCCTGCTCAGCACTTCCCATGGGCACACAAGACCGAGAGCCAGACATCTCATGTCTCTGCTAAGCTAACTGGCTTTCTGCAGTCAGATTCCCAGGAAATGTCTTCCCAGGGCCTCCAGACCTGACTAGGACAAGGGAAGTATCCTGCAAGCACTGCCATAGTGACATGGGGATGGGCTATACCTAGTGGAAAACAGGGCCTCAGTCATGGCAAAGCTACCTGGAGACCAACCCATGGACATGGCTGAACATGCTGCAGCCAGTTGCACTGATGTTCACTGAAGTTATAAACCAGCCCCATACAGAACCAGCCCCTACCTTGTTCTTGGTGACGTATTCAACGTTGGAAGACAGGTCATCCACCTCCATCTTCATCTCACTCTTCTCCTTCTCCAGCTTCTGCTTGACGCGCTGCAGGTTGTCGATCTGCTCGCTCAGCTCGGCCACGCTGTCCGCGTGCTTCTTCCTCAGGGCAGCTGCCATGGCCTCGTGCTGCAGGGTTGCCTCCTCCAGGTCCCGCCTCAGCTTCAGGAATTCTGCCTCCCTCTTCTTGTTCATCTCCAGCTGTGTGGCTGTTGTCCCACCAGCCTCCTCCAGCCTCTCACTCAGCTCCTCCAGCTCCCGCGACACCTCCGCACGCTGCTTCTCCACCTTGGCTCTGGCTGCACGTTCGGCCTCCAGCTCCTCCTCCAGCTCCTCAACACGGGCCTGGAGAGACAGAATGACCCAGATGTTCCAGGTGAAGCTCCAGCATCTTTGCTATCCACAACAGAGCAAGATGTCTCTGTTGATGCTGGGGAGCAACAAGCCATCAGTCTGGAGCAAATGCTCGGGCTGTTCTGGGCAGCAGCATTGCCTAGTTCTCCTTGGGAGTGTGTTTTGTGGAGTTCCTGCCCTGCCATCAGGAGTCAGGCTGATATTAGCTTCTTTTCATGGGAATTTCCAGGAATGTGGGGACCTGTGTCAGATAGGAAGAAGCCCAATATGCTAGATTTGGATATTCAGAGTTTGGGCACTGGATTAAAGGTTTGAGTTTGGACAGAGAATCATAGAATCAACCAGGTTTGAAAAGACCTCAAAGACCATTGACTCCAACCCTCCTGTGGTTACTAGCCCATGGTACTAAGTGCCACATCCAGTCTCATCTTAAAAACCTCCAGGGATGGTGAATCCACCACCTCCCTGGGCAGCACATTCCAATGCCTGATCACTCTCTCTGTAAAAAAATCTCTTCCTAATATCCAACCTAAACCTCCCCTGGCAGAGCTTGATCTGTGCCCTCTTGTCCTTCTGCTGGTTGCCTGGGAGAAGAGACCAACCCCCACCTGACTCCAACCTGCTGTCAGGGAGTTGTAGAGGGTGACAAGGTCTCCCCTGAGCCTCCTCTTCTCCAGGCTGAACACCCCCAGCTCCCTCAGCCTCTCCTCATGGCACTTGTGCTCCAGTCCCTTCACCAGCCTCGTTGCTCTTCTCTGGACCTGCTCCAGCACCTCAATATCCCTCCTGACCTGAGGGGCCCAGAACTGAGCACAGGATTCAAGGTGTGGCCTCACTGGTGCCAAGTACAGAGGAAGAACTACATGCTGGAGGCTGTTCCTCAAGCTGCTGCTAGTGTTCACCTCAGTAGATCATTCTTTAGTTTTCAGCCACCACATTCTGGCAGAGGGCTCTACTTCTGCTATCAGTGTCCATCACTCTTTTTCCAAGGAGGTGTCCTTGTGCTCAGAGAGGGACTGGTCCATGCAGATTCCCCAGAACATTACCTCTGATGGAAATTTCAGACTCCTAAGCTGTGAGAACATCTCTTCCCACCATACCTGGACCTCCTTGATCTTCTTTTGCAGCTGGGCCTCAGTCACTTGCCCATCTTCAATCCTTGAATTCAGCTGACTCATTTCAAAGTCTTTCCTGTACAGAAAGAAGCAAATTTGGCTCAGACACACATTGTCTTGCCAGGTCCCTCTGGCTCCTGGAGCCTGAGGAAGGTTGTTCCCTGCACTGTAACACTCAGGCCAGAGGACAAACAACCACACACAGGAAAGGGACTACAGGGCTAAGAAGCAGTGCCTGGACTGCTCTGAAGGAGGGCTGGAGTGGCCAAACTAGCAGACCTGGCTCTGGAGTTTTCCCTGTGTGGTCCCAAGGTGTTGCTCTCCAGTTCCCCAATGTGAATGGGACATGACTGAAGTCTGGACTTGTAGCTGAGGCCCCAGCTCTGAGTTAAGATCCTGCTAGGCTGGTCCCTCCCCTCCAACCCCACATACAGAGGAAGGGCTAAAGTGCCCTGATCTATGAGTCTGTGCAGCACACAAGCTGCTCAGCATCTCTGCAAAGTGCACAGGAAAACTAAGCTCTCCTTTTGCCTAGACTGGTCACACCAGCAGTGCTCAGAGCCACGTTCCAGCAGCCCCTGCAGAGGCCACACATCCACTTGATTTAGAAGTAGGCACTGGCCTGGCAGAGCAAGGACACAGCCCAGGCTCCTGTCACACACTCACTTCTTGAGTTTCTCCTCCAGCTGCTGTTTGTCATTCTCCAGATCCATTACAGACTCTTGTGTCAGCTTCAGGTCTCCTTCAAGCTTCCTCTTTGCTCTTTCCAGGTCCATGCGGACCTTCTTTTCTTGCTCAAGTGAGCTTTCCAGCTGGAGAATGAAGGGAGATGGGATAGGGAGGGAAAGGACCCTCTGTAGCCCCAACCTTAGCCATCTCCACTGCTGTGGGAACTTCACCCAGCCCTGAAAGCCAGAGGTGTTTCCCAGCTGGTCTCCAGTCCCATTCCCTCAGCCCAGGACTGCTCTTTCATGATCACCTCTTGGTTCAGGGGCAGTTTGCCAAAGGGGTTATTCGTCAATGGGCCATATTAAGGGGGGATCTGGTAATGATCCCACCCTCCAGATCCCACTCAGGGACAGCCTTTGGGCTCTCCTGGAGGTGTGGCTCAAACCTCTCTCGCTTCACTGTCACTCACATCATCCACTTGCTGCTCCAGTTTGACCCTGGCTTTGGTCAGTGTGTTGACCTTGTCTTCCTCAGCCTGCAGGTCATCCAGAGCCTGCTGATGGGCCTCTTGCAGGGCTTTCTTCTCCTTTGTCAGCTTGGCAATGACCTCATCCAGAGCAGCCATCTCCTCAATCAGGTTTTTAACCTAAACAAGTGCAGTCAAAACTTGAGTGCACCTTCTCAGAGAGGGGATGCAAGGCTAACACAGCAGCCTGATACTTGAAAGACAGGAGTCTATGAGCAGCAACAGCTCAGCACCACAGCAGCAGCCAGACCTTCTCCCTTGGCCAGGCTGGTGCCACCAGGTGGGTTGTCAATGCCCCAAGTCACTTGTCCCAGCTCCCCACACCAGCTGCCTCATCCCAGAGATTTCTCTGGTGCCCCCACAAGCCCTGAGGCCCCAGGGCAGTGAGGCTGGGCTCTGCAGGGAGGTTGCTTACCTTGTTCTCTGTGGCATGCTTCTCCTTCTCCACCTTGGCCAGTGTGATCTCTAGGTCATCAATGTCCTTCTTCAGCTCTGCACACTCATCCTCCAGCTTGCGCCTCTTGGCTGTGAGCTCTGAGTTCATCTCCTCCTCATCCTCCACACGCTCCATCAGCTCCTTCACCTTGGCCTCCAGCTGGATCTTGGACTTGATCAGCAGGTCACAGCGTTCCTCTGCATCTGCCAGGTTGTCTTGCTCCTGGGACAGGCACAGGAGAGCCAGAGCTCATCTGCTGCCCCAGGAGCACACCAGCAGGCTCTCAGCCATGCTGTCCTGGCCCCAAGTTGAAGCTCTTCTTGTGGAAGGGGCAGAGAAAGCCTGAGGTGCTCAAGTGTACCAAAAGAGAAAAAGACAGCTCCAGCCACTTCCCATTTTCAAAGCCCATGGTACCACTGACACTAACCAGGGTCAAAGAGCAATTAAATCTTTCCAGATGAAGGAAACACTGAACTGACACTTCCTGGCACAGAAATGGCACAGATGAGCCAGTTTGGCAAGCAAACATTGACATCCCTCCCACCCCGCTGTGAGGAGATGACCCTTTCCAGAGCCAGGGGACAGCCCCAAGATGTGATGTTGCTTCAGGTCTGCACAGAGACTTATATTGCATTTCAGACAAATTGTGGCAATGAGGGAGTCTCAGAACTGCAAGAGGCTGAGGAGGGCTCTAGCACACACTGCTCCTTCTTCTGCCCATGGACCCTGCACTGTCTAAACACTTACAAAGAGGATGAGCCACTCACTGCCTGTAGCTGGAGAGCCAGGTCATTCTTCTCCTGGATCATGGAGACCTGCTTCTCTTCCAGCTCCTTCCTTTTAGCCTCAGACTTCTCCAGAGCCTCTTTCATCTTCTGGAACTCCTCCTTCAGGTTGGACATTTCCTTCTCAGTCTGAGCAGACTTGAGTAAAGGTTTGATCTTGAAGAACAGCTTCATCCAGGACCAGTTCTTGACAGCGTTGAAGGCCCGGATGTTCCACTGGATGGTATAGAGGGCTTCCCTGGAGGCATACGAGCACAGCATCATCGGGGGGGAGATCCCACATCCCATCCTGGCTTTGGCAGGCCTGGACATGGCTCCAACCACTGCCAGCCATAGGCAAGTCCTACAGGTCAAACCCACTGACACGTGCTGAAGGGACAAGGAGATGCACGAAGTTCTGCCTCTTCCCCTCCAACTCTACCTCCTGCTGATGATCTTCTGATACTCCACACGCATGAGGTGCCCACGAATTCTGGCCTGCAGCATAGTCAGGATCTTGGCCAGACGCTCATCTCGCATCTCCTCCAGCAAGCCCAGCAAACCAGCCTTGAAAAACACCTGTGGGCAGAAGAGTGGGAACAGACACCAGCAGAGAGGACAGAGGGTAACACAACCTGCCAGGCAGACCTGGGGTACATGATGCTCAGGGCAGGGATACATGCAGCAGTGAGGGCTACAGATTCAAACAGCTTGGAAAAGACCTCTGAGATCATCAAGTCCAACCTATGACCTAACCCCACCATGTCAACTAGACCATGGCAGCAAGTGCCACGTCCAGACTCTCCTTCCACACCACACGACTAGGTGCCCTGTCAGCATGGGCATACACCCACACACTGCTCTGGCTGGAGGTGCAACCCCACACACCAGATCTCCTGCCCTGAGCACATCATGTTCTCCACTGGGGATCAGCTGCTGTGTTGGGTGGTATGAGGTCAGGCAGAAGTGACCTACTCAGACCTGTTTCTTTTTGTTCCAGCCTGCATCTTCCTCTGCTCTCCTCAGTCTCTTTGAGGGGGTCACATGCACCCTGCAGGGCTGTGGCCAGGCAGAGACAGGCTGGGCACTGGGAATGCAGAGAGACAGGAGGGGGAATGTCTGCGTGGTCTCACCTTGGTATGACCAAACTTGTACTGTGCACGGTCCAGTTCCAGGGAGCTCAGCAGCTTCTCCGTGGCCTTCCTGCTGTCCACGAACTTGTCTTCTGGAATGGCTGCTGGATTCAGGATACGGTAACTGCAGGGACAAAGCAGAGGGAGGACATGCAAGAGAACTGCAGCACAGAGTTGATTGCTCCATCATCAGCAATATCCCTGAAGCCCAGTCATGCCAGTTCCCACTGGAGGCACGTTGCTGCAGCACAGGCTGGAGCTGTGTATGAACCAGCTGCTCCAAGGTGCAGTATGGGCTCTTCTGCAGAGCAGGCACTGGGTACCCTGCCAGATCTTAGTCCCTGAACACCAGGAAGACTATGCAAGGAGGAGGCCACTGGCCTCACCATGCCTGGTCAGGTCCAGGCCAACTGGAGAACTCTAAAGACCCATCCCAAGGGCAGTGAGAAATCTGAGCCAGGATCAGAGACCCTAAGCCTTGCCACCATCCCCCTGCACCAGCCCTGCATTCAGCATCTCAGACATCACCAGATCTCATCCCCTCTGGCACCAGACTATCCATGTCTGGCATCCCAGAGCCAGCAGCAGAGCTATCCCAAACTGCACGTGCACTGGGTGTATCTGGGGGTTCAGACCAGCCCTGCACAAATTGGGGAGCAGGTTGGAGCCAGTGTCTCCCCTCAGAACACGTGTGGGGAGCTGGGCAAGGAAGAAGAGGCAGTTACCGCTGCTTGAAGTCTGCGTAGAGGATCCTGTTGGGAAATCCCTTGCGGCAGATGCGGATTCCTTCGAGGACACCGTTACAGCGCAGCTGGTGCAGCACCAGGAAGGAATCCATGGCTCCTGTGGGTGGGGACAGAGATGGAGCAGATGCTTAGCCCAAGAAGGCAGAGAAAATGGAGCTGCAGCATGGGCCTGAAGTCTGGAAACAGCCCATGGTTTGTGCATGGGTGTTAACCTGTCCTGCAGGTCTGTGCTGAGCACCAGTGCTGCAGCCTGGGCCATGGATGGTGGAAGTCAGCATGAAGGACTCATCCATGCCTGCTCTTACACACAAGTGCAAGGCAGCCCAAGCATCAATGCACAGCCAAAACAGGAGCTTAGCAAAGCTCATCATCTCCAGCAGAGGAGATTGACTTGGGTCACAGGAGTTTCAACACTGAGGGTCAGGGCTCAGTGGCAGCAGAACTGCTGCACAAAAAGGGTTGGGGAGAAGGTGGGTGCAAGACTTCCTGCCATATGTGAATGTCCCCAAGGGAACTGCCAGGCTGCTGTCTCAGCCCATCATACCTGGGGTCTTTGTCTCGTTGGGGATGATGCAGCGGACAAAGTGGGGCTGAGTGGAGCGCAGGTTGGTCATCAGCTTGTTGAGATTCTCCTGCAGGGCAGACACAGCAGATGAGGTGACAGCTCTGCTCCTCTATAACACTGCTCTCCAGCCCCTTTCCCCCACAGGCAGGGAGAGAGCAGACTCTGGGAGCCCCTTATGTCATGAGAAAGGGGGAGTTTCCCCCTGCTTTCCTGTCAACAGGACATCCCCAGCCCTGGGGCAAGACCACTGCCTCCTGCCAGAGTGGGAGCCATGGCAGAGGGGACAGAGCTGGCAGACATGGCAAGTGGCATCTGAAGGTTTTCCTGTGCCAGAGAGGAGCCAGATGCTACCCAAGTATTTGTAGGTGAAGTTTTGGTGCAGGGGAGAGTCAGGAACACAGGACTGAGCACACAGCTGTGCTGGTGCCCATCAGCCTTGTGCTAATCACTCTGCAGTTCCAGTGCTGGTGTCCACACTGGCTGCAAACCTTGGCTCATCAGGATTTCCCTGCACCTCCACAGAGCTTCACCCCCTTTGCCCATAACAGAGGGCCCTGCTGATCCAGACTACACCTCCTTTTCTCTCCAAGGCAGAGCTCAAGCTGAGACACAGCCCTGTCTTTGCTTGTGGGAAAGGCATCTGCACCCTTGATCTTTCCAGCTGCTTTCTCCTGCTCATACAGGCTCAGCCTGTCCAGGACCAGCTCGAGGAAGGGAACACCTTCCCACAGCTCCACATCATCATGGGGCAACTTCTCACCACAGGCACCTTTTCCCAAGGCCTGTGACTTGTCCAGGAGGAAGAAAGCCACACATCTCCCTGAATGGAGGTTCTGACAGAGCACTGCCCTCTTTGAGCACCCTGTCACCAAAAGGCAGAACACAGTTTTGGATCCACACATCACTTTGTGCTGTTTTCCAGTTGGTTAAGCTCTAGTTTGGGCAGATAACTCCTGTGGTGAGCACGGAATGGGTGTGTGTTTTTTGTTCTGAGCTGTACAATGGCTCAGGTCACTTCCCAGGATAGAGAACTGCCTGCTCAGAGACCTGCAAGATCCTTCTCCATTTTCTTCTGCCCAAAGGCTGTCCTTCCCGCTGATAAGAATGAGGAGAGAAGTAGCACAGACTTAAAGTGATGTTCATGTAATAAATTATCTAAACATCACTACAAGTCTTAACTGCCTCTCTCTCAAAGGCGAAGGAGCTGCTGAGCAGCACAAGTGTCACGTGGGCAGAAGCAGCACAAGCCCCAGATCAAAGGGAGACATCACTCTCCCAGCCTAGAGCCTCATGTTCTGCCCTAGGTGCACAGGGACAGGGCTGGGACTCTGCCAGGCACAGGTCCCTTGCCCAGGGTTGGGAGGATGTTAGGAGTTTTTGCCCAGTAGTGATCCCTGAGGAGCTCTGGTGGTCAGGCCCCAGGAGCTCATGTGCAAGATCCCAAGGGATGTGGGACTGACAGTGGGACCCTCTGAGCACGTTTCTCTCATGGCCTTGGATGAGGGGCTGGCTCTTACCTTGTGCAGCTGTGACACTGTTTGGAAAGAAGCTGCCTTTTTACGTTTCTCCTTGGTCCCTGGCTTGTGAGGCTCCTCTGTTGGGTTGAAACATTGATTCATTACATCAGCAAAACATCTGCTCAGCTTGGAGGACTCAAGACCACTCCCAGACACCCCTGGAACACCCACAGCCCTTGCTGTCTGTAAAGAAGAGGTGCAATGCCCTGCTGCTGTCCAAAAACATCTCCCACAGCACCCAAATCTGGGTGTTGCTCCTCAGCTTCGGGTAACAGGAGACCCTTCACACACCCCAGGTCACAGGACCATCAGGACAGCCCTACAGCCCCACACAAGCTCAGCTTGGTCTTGACCACCCACCTATCCAGGTCACAGAAGTTTTAGGGATCTGTGTGGGTCTTCCCTTTGCCCTGGCCACTAGGTGCAGAGATGCTGCACCAACAGCAGGACATGGGGGTGAGGAGGCTTTGTTGCAAAGGGAGGGAGAGTCCAAGGTCAAAGAAGGGTCCTCACCTGAAGTAGAGCTCACATAGTTCTCATAGAGGGAGGCCAGGAGCTTGTTTTGGGATTTTTGGAAGACAGACACCACTGTCTCGTTCAGAGGGTCCTTGTTCTTGTCCAGCCACCCAACGATGTTGTATGGCACCTGTCAGGAGAGAGGCAAAGGTAAGGACAGCCCTGTCCTTGCAGGGGGGAGGTGTGAGTGCTATAGAAGAGCTGACAAGGACATACCACACCAGCATAGTGCACCACCTCAAAGTGGGCCTCGTATTTCCGCTTCTTATCCGGCCGCGGCTTCTGGAAGTTGGGCGACTTCCCGATGTGGTTGTCGTAGAGCTTAGCTTTGAACGTCATGTCAGAGGCTTTGGGGAACATGCACTCCTCTTCAAGGATGGACAGGATTCCCATTGGCTGCAGGGAAAAACAGTATAAAGAGGTCTTAGCTCAGTGTTGTCATGTCCCATCCCAAAATGGGGTTCTCTGTGCCACTGAGGCAAGGCTTGACCTAGTAGACCTCATCCTCATTCAGGTGAAAGACTGGCCATGGACCAAGCCATCACTGGTGTGCTCCAGGCTGAATCTGACCTCCAGCCAGTCCAAGTAGGACTTGGCAGCCTGCTCAAGTCTATCAGATTGTTGGGAAAGGGATTGAGCTCCAACCAGTCCAAGTAGGACTTGTCAGCCTGCCCAAGTCTATCAGATTGTTGGGAAAGGGAGATTCTCTCCAGTATCCTGACAGGTTTGCTCCTTTCCAAAAACAAAAATAAAGGTGAGTTTCCTCCATGCAATGGTAGAAATCTTTTCTCCAAGCTGCTCTGAGTAAGTGCTCAAGTAAGAGGCACTGAGGGGCAGCAAGTGGGTAGGAAAAAAGGGGCAGAGAGGAAAAGGCTGCACCAGGTTTTGTGGCTCACTGGTGAGTAGGAACAGAATTTCCATGGTTTCATAAAGTCAAAAACTGTGTCAAAAAGGTCTCAATGGGCTGGAAGATTAGAGATGTAACTGTGAGCCACTTGTCACTGACGGGAGAGGGAATAGATTAACTTTAGTAGTAGAGTACATTTCACTATTTCAACCTTTGCAAAGAACCATCTACCAGCAGTACCATTCCTGTGCCCTGCTCCTGCTTTACCTTCTCAATCAGGTCAATGCAGGCCTGCAGATCCAGGCCAAAGTCAATGAAGACCCATTCAATGCCTTCCTTCTTGTATTCTTCCTGCTCCAGGATAAACATGTGGTGGTTGAAGAACTGCTGCAGCTTCTCATTGGTGAAGTTGATGCACAGCTGCTCAAAGCTGTTGAACTGCAAGAACAATACAGATCTGGGTCAGAAGAAGCAGTTCCAGATGTGAAGGGATTCACACTTCTGCTCTGCCTGGATGTGAAGGGTGATCTCTGCCAGGCTCAGCTGGATTGCCACCAGGACAGGTAGCCAGGAATCACTGGAGGTGTGCCCACAGCAAGGTTAAATCTTTGTGAGCTCCCTGTTTGCTCCAGATAAATTAATTCAGACCAGAACCCTTTCTTACCAGCACCAGCAGCTTCCTGATGTAAATAGAACTGTCAAACACCAGGGGACTGAGTTGTCCCTACAACATTCCCCCAAACCCATTGCAGGGGCCTGCAGAACTCACATCAAAAATCTCGAAGCCTGCAATGTCCAACACTCCAATGAAGAACTGCCTGGCCAGCTTGGTGTCCAGGGTCTTGTTGATCCTTGTCACCAACCACTTGAACATGCGATCGTAGGTGGCTTTAGCCAGGGCTCCCACAGCATACAGCACCTACCAAGGCAAACCACAGAGCAGCTCAGGAGCTTCTCCCTGCTTTTGTAGGAGTTAGAAGCTCAAGAGAGCTCCTCTTGGCACACAGAGGACAGACAGATCCGAGGAATTCATGGTTACAGTATATGCTCCAAGATTAATTTTCACATTGCTCACAAGTGTGTTCTCATGTCCCAGACCTGGTCCTAGTTTCCAAGGTCTTAGGATACAGATTCAGTCTAAACTGGTATTTTCAGAAGCCTACAGAAGTCTACACTTTGGATAAAACACCAGCTCCTAAGGTCCTCCTGAATTGCACTCAGGGATTGACTTGCACTATTGAGCCCACATTTGGGTTCCTAACTGGGATGTGGCTGGAATCTAACAAGATAAATTTTTGGTGCAGTCAGGTCTCCCAAACATCAGTTTTGATTAGTGTTTCGATGAATTTTCTACTTTCCAGAAAGTAACTTCATGGGATTGTGGCTGTTTCTGAAGCAGATCCATAGAACCTGGATCCTCTGGCTGTGATCCAACCCACATTTCGAAGACAGTGCACTAAACCTCCACCCTTGGTTGATACACAAAGCTGCCTTCCAGCTCTGCCACCAACTTTCCCCAGCTGCTAAAAGCCAGTAACTGTGGATACATCTTCTTATGCTGCCCTGGAGTCTCCTCCTAAACTCAAGAGAGTGAACTGAAGCACCAGTCATCCTGTGCAGGGTGCCCACAGAGCAGTCACACACCAGAGTGAGCAGAGAATCCATGTCCTGTCACACTCACCTGTTCCACATTCTGACCTTTGGTCACATACTCATTGCCCACTTTGACCCGAGGATGGAGCAGCCCTTTGATGAGGTCAGCTGAGCTGATTCCCATCAGGTAGGCAGCTTTGTCAGCACCTGTAAAGCAGAACAAAGGCATGAGGAGCCAGCAAGGAAGCTCTGGGAAGGAAAGAAAGGAAGGCAAAAAAAAAAAAAGCAGCTTTTATGGTGATCAATGCTAACTATACTAATTTTCCCACCTGCTCCAGAGTCTCCTCCAGTGTCAAGTGTGATTTCCCATCTGTGATATTCTATGATCCTTTTAAAGTCTGCACCTCCTGCATGAGTTACTGTTTGGAGGAGATGGCCATAGCAGACCTGCTGCACTTTATCAGGTGCTTATCAGGTTTTAGTGTTCTTGATCTGGGAATCTCTGTGGATTTTCCAGTGGAAACTTGGATTCTCATGCAGTGAATTTGAACTGAACAGAAGAGAGGTGATTTTCTTGCTTATCTTTCATAGACTCCTAATAGCAGATTGTAGCTGTAGG